GGTGTTATTTTTCCAAAAGTGAATAAATTCCTTGACCTTTACTAAGTTCAATAATTAGATCATGTATATAATGCTTTCCTAACAATTTTTGCTTTTGAAGAGATATCATCAAAAAATAGAAAGGTTAAAAATTAGACTGGTGAAAATATTCACAACACACAGATCTAACAAAGAACTTGTATCCAGAATATATAAAGAATCCCCACAGTAAAATAAGATGACATTAAACGTATGTGTAGTTTATTATATGTTAATTACGCTCAAAAGCTATCTAAAATGATCAGATAAAAACATAATTAAAAATACAAAAGTTTTAATACACAAAGATCTACAAATGGCCAACGAGCACATGAAAAGTGATCGCTAGCCATCAGGGAAATATACAATGAAACCACTATAAGATACCACAACACCCCACCGGAATAGCTAAAATGAAAAAGACTGACAATTTCAAGAGTTACTGAGGATTACAGTAACTGGAATGCTCAGGTGTCATCGGTGGGATTGTAAAATGGCACAGATACTTGGGAAAACAGATGGTAGCTTCTTATAAAGTTAGGCATATACTTATAAGACCCAGAGATACAATTAAAAACAAATCTTTACACAAAGACTTGTTCACAAGTGTTCACAGGCATCAGAGCCCAGACCAAACGGCCAGAGGGGCCCTGAAATGGTACTGGGAGACAGAAAGAAAGAGACTGGTAAGAAGATGGGAGGGACGAGTACAGAAAGGGAAGAAGGGGAGGGTGAGAAGGTATAAGAGGTACAAAGGAAGGGGTATTCAAAGTCAAGGAGAAAAGAAACTATACCTAGACATAGTGAAACTGCAGAACTCCAAAGAACCTTAAAAGGAGCCGGGGGCACCTGAGTGCCTCAGTCGGTGTAACTCTTGATTTTAGGCTCAGGTCATGATCTCACAGTTTGTCAGTTCAAGCCCCGCAACGGGCTCTGTCTCTCTCCCGCTCTCTCTCTACCCTTCCCCTGCTCACGTGCTCTCTGTCTCAAAATAAATAAATAAGCTTAAAAAAAAAAAAAAAAAAAGACAGCGGAAAGAAAAGACAAGACTACTCACAAGTAACAAGCAGCCTGATGGCTGACATTACAGCTGCCACAAAGGAACCAGAAGGTAGTTGATGAATACAACAACATCAGTCTGGAATTGCACACCCAGGGCATTTATCATTCCAGAACAAAGATACCTAAAGGCACACAAAAATGGAGGTTACCACCAAAGAGAGGCTCACTAACGAAACTTCATGCTTTTAGACCTAAGTTTCTTTTTAACGAGGCTGTACCTTTTTACAATATTACCCAGCTTTCAAGGTTAATTTAAATTGTTAAATTAGCACAACATGGGAACAAAATCAATATCAAATCTTCCAATTCCCAGAACAGCAACCTTAAAAACGTTAAAGATTACCTGGAAAGGACATCAAAAACTAGGTTTTATTTATTCCCAGCATGTATTTATCAAGGGATTGCTATGTGCGAGGCATATACTAGATCCTGAGTTAACAGGATGAGAACAAAAAAATGAAAATCACCATAATCTTGGCTTTGTTAGTTTTCTTGTAGAAGATACTCTTATGGGAAGCCGAAGTCTGTGTGTAGAGTGGCATTACCCTTGTGACAAGAAATATTAGCATAATAGAGTTAAAAGCAATCTGGTTTGGCTGGTGGCTCCTTTGTTTGAAAATGTATGCACAAATATGACAATTTTACACATGAAATTAATTCAGTGTAAATGATGAATTCTCACATCATTTATTTGCCAATCTTACAGTTTGTCTATTATTTCCGTCCCACATTATAAGAAGAAAACTGCCGATTCGTAGCCAACGCTGAGCGAGCGCTAGTGTTAATCACGTTGTATTGGACGGTCCCTGGCTTATTTCAGAGATAGCAAAAGCTTAGAGCACCATATTTAAAATCTATCAAGTGCCCACTTTTGCTTCAAGTATCCACTTGGCAAAACATTTTTTTTCCTGCCTTCGACCGGGACAAGGGGAGCCGGAAAAAACCCAGTTTCTCTGCTTTAAAACAAACATTTTCTGGGGGCTTCTTGATTAAAAACAAAGGCGGCGTTTGGCATTAAAAAGACTGGGGAAGTCAGTATTTCACGTAATCTGAATGGAAACTGTTGGGCTCTGATCTTCCTGGACACGTGGAAGAGGTTAACGCAGTGACCTGGAGGAAACAGGCCGCAGCAGAAACTCAACGCATTAAACAGCAAGAAAAAGAACTTGACCTACCTTCCCATCCAATAGCCTTGCTCGAAGAGCCTGCCTTTTCCATTGAAGGTACCCAAGATTAGGAGAGGGCAGCCACGGGACCTAAAAGCCTGCCCCTTCCCTTCCCAGCCAATACCTAGAATGCTTGCGCACCCAAAGCGGAAAGGACTGAAGCCGGCGACTCTATCTGGGGGATCACGGCGGCACCTCTCTTTTCTGCAGCATTTTCCGTTACCAGGGATAGGGCATTTCTCAAGAAGCCTAGGCAGTTCTCTACAATAAGCAAGGCCAGTTATAAAGGGTGTGTTTCAAATGCCAGTTCTCTGTGCTACGAGATCAGAGCTGGGCACCTACAAATCCACAAAACTTGTCCCGCCCTCCGGGAAAGGTCACAATGTCTTTCCTAAAGGGTGTTCAGCCGACAAAGAGTGGGCTCTTGACTTCTCTCCAGGGTTCTCTAACCTCTTCTAGGATGGAAAAAGCTTTTCTGTTTTGCTGGTTATCCCAAGCCCCCTTCTTTAAAAGTTGTATCGTTTTTCCAAATGAACTAAACCTGGCTCTGCGCATCGAGGATTATAGGGCGAATTCCACTTTCCAAGGAACGAACCGCTTTGATCCTGTATTTAATTCTTAACTTTCTGTAATGAAGTACAAAACAAAAACATTCACCCAGCTGTCCTTTTGTGTGAAAATAATTACAAACTGAATGCAACACACCAGAAGAAAACTGTCTCGGATAGATTTTGAAATCTCCTTTTGGTAAATTTGGCTACAGAGTAGCATTACTGTTCTATTATGACCCAAGGAATTCAATCGCTATACAAATTCCAGGAAGAGACTATCAATGTGAAAAGGGGCATTATAAACCTAACTCCAGGATTTCCATAGGGACAGACTCCTTCAATGTGCAACCACGCACCAACTCACAAGGGGTGTGCCACAGAATCTGTGACCTTATGGGGCACAACTACATCATCCCCAACTATTTCAAGTTTCCTGCCCGCCTCAAAGAAACAGGAGATTCCGGGAAGCCCTGCAGTAAGGGAGGCATCAGCTCAGTATCTCCACCAACGCTTCCCCCAGCGAGTGAGCCAGCCCCTGGCCAATAATGTCTATTTATTTTACCCAGAGGCAGATCTATTAACCAGACATTCTAAAAACACAAACGTTTTGTTGCGCTTGGAGGAACTCCAATATTGGTGCCTTGCTGCAGAACGATGGTGCCGGAATATAAAGTGAGCCATGTGGATGCTGAACCCACCGAGGAAGCCATCCTCAGAAACTGTCACAGCAGAAGACCAACCCTTTGGAAAGGCCGAGGGTAAGCCCCCAGCCGGAAGGCTGTGAGATGAGGGAAGAAAGCGAAAGCCAGGAGACCCCAGAAAGGCTCACCCCATGGGAACCAGAGGGCAATTTTTAAGGCAACTCCCTCCAAGCTCTCAGCACCAAAAAGGCCTTTACCTCCTCTCCTTAGACTGAATGAGAAAAGCGAGACAATGCTAAAAGGACGTTCTGGAATGGGCTTGGCAGTCACCACGTGCAGAACACATTAAACATGACCCACGAGGGTGGGCTCTCCCAAAACTGCTCCCCTGGGCGGGGAGATGGGGGTCCACAAAAGTCATGGCTCAGGGGAAATCGGGGGAAACAGGGAAGGTCTGGGCGGAGCAAGTCCAACCTGGGAAGCCAAGAGGAAGGCATTAACCACAATAATAAAATGAAACAGCCAGAGGCCACCAGGGTTTTTCCAGAAGGCTCAGAGACAGGCTGAGACCGCTAAACTCCTCCAGATGAGAGGCGATCTCTCCACAGCTCAAGGGGCTGGGCTGATAGCAACGTCCTCAATTCTTTTGTAAGCCTCACCTCCCTCTTTTCTGGGGTCCGGCACCCATCCCAGCAGCAGCGGGGCCCCAAACGCCAAGAACGAAACCCAGAACGATTACGGGGAACTCATCCCCCCTCCACTCTCCTCAAATCTCACAACAAATCTCTCTCTCTCTCTCTCTCTCTCTCTCTCTCTCAAGAGTCTGGCCGGATCACACAGCTAAAGTTTCCGGAACTTAAATCGTAAAACCACAATCAGAAGTTCTGGTTTGGAAATGCACGCCACAAAAATCTGTGTCCTTTGCTGGAAAGAAAGAAAAAAAAAAACAACTTTGCTCTCCATAAAGACAGGCGGTGAAGAGAGACAAAATCTAACTTGGGCGGAGGGTGTGTTCTTCTTTGTCACCTACCCGGGTGCTCGCGCCGCGCGTGGGCGAGCGGCGGGCACCCGGCAGCGCCGCGGCAGCCGAGCCAGCGGCCACCTCCCCGGCCCGCGATCCGCGTCTGGGGCCAAGGTCGCGGCCCGAGGTCCGGAAGCGGCGTCCGGCGCTGTCACTGTGCCGGGTGGGATAGGAGGAAGCGGGGCGGGGGGGGGGGGAAGCCGGGAGAGAAGAGCCCCGCGCAGTGGGGGAGGCGAGGGGGGCCGCGCGCAGAGCCGCGCAGCCCGGGTCCGCGGAGGTGAGAGAGAAAGGTGCAAAGGGCGGCCCGGAGCCCGGAGGCCCCCGAGCTCCTGCTATTGTTGCCGGAGCAGCCCCGGGCCCGGCGGCCGGGAGCCCGATCCCACCCGCCGCCCGCTTCCTCCCGGCAGGACGCCGCGGGCACGCACCCCACCTCCACCCGCCCCTCCCCCCCCCCACGGCGGCTCGGCCCCGAGCGCCCGGACTCGCACAAGTTGCCGCCCGCCCGCCCCGCCGCGGTCATTGTTCGTCCCGCGCCTCCTACCTCCACGGCGCCGGCGGCTCCGGCTCCCCCTCCGGGCCTCCGGGCGCAGCAGCTCCGAGCCCCTGGCTGCCGAGGGCGCGGCGGCTCCGGGCGGCGCGTGCAGCGGGGGCGCTCGGCTATTAATACCCGCGGGCGGCGGCGGCGCGGGAGCGCAAGCGGGGCTGGCGGTGGCCGGCCGAGGTCCGAGCCATCAAAGGTGGCGCGGGGCGGAGGGGAGGGCGGAGCAGGCGGGGTGGGTGGGGAGCGGGCTCAGGGTCGCCATGGCCGCCTCGACGCCGGGCCGCGCTCCACTCGCGCGGGGAGGAGCGGCGCAGAGCGGGCGGCGGCCGCGTCCCCGCCCCGCGCCCCAGCCGAGCGCCCGCAGCCCTGCGCCCGCGCGGGACCCGCCGCCTCCGAGGCCGGCTAGCGGGAAGTGAAGGCGATCGCGCCCCTCCCCGGGCCTGGGCCGGCCCCTCGGCGCGGGGTGTGGGGGGGGTGCTTGGGCGCCGCGCGAGCCGCGGGGACAGCGGGAGAGCCACAGCCCCCTCCAGCGTCCGGGCCGGCGACCTGCGCGCCAGCGCGCCCCGCCCCGCTCCGCCCTGGGGGGCAGGTGCGCCGGGGGAGGAGGGGGGGAAGGTGGCCCCAGCCCGGAGCGCCCCTCCCCGGCCCCGAGAGCCCACCTCGGATCTGTGCCTGACTTGGTCCTACAGCCAGAGCCCGAGTCTCTGCGCTGCGCCACCGAACCGAGCGCAGGAAGCGCTGAGGCGAGCGCTGCGCCACCAGGGAGACGCCAGTCGCGCTGCTGTGGTTGAAAGCGATGTAAGGAGAGCGGGAGACGAGCGCACGGGCTTAACCAGCAGCTGCTGCAGGGCGGGCGGCGGCGCAGACCCTGCAACTCCCCGGCCGAGGCCGTGCAAGGGGGGGTGCCTGTGTGCCCACCTGGGACTTGACGTAGTCGCGCGGGAAGCGGCCTTTGCAGGGGCGCACGAGCACTCCCCTCCCAAGCCACACGAGCGGGCTTCCGGCACCACCCTGGGCTGCGAGCGACTTAATCCCGAAGGGGCGGTTGCCACCTCCCCCGCTCCCCGCCCCCCGCCACGACCCAGTGTCCTCCACCCCGGCGATTCCCAGGACAGTCCCCACCCCCACATGCCCTACCTCCGGGAACAGGAGCAACGCCCCACGGGGGACAAGAGTGAAATCGGTTGGGAGCTGGTTGGCGGAGTTTAACGGGGGCGGGGGGGGAGAGCAAGATGGACCGAGGAGGCTGGGACCTAGGGCGGGGGGAGGGGCCCCACCCTCCAGCAGAGAGCCCCGCTTTACCGTCTCTGTCTCCCCCTTCCCGAGCCCCTCGCGTCGCCTTCTGCTCGCTGTACTCGTGGAGGGGAAAGGGCGGGCGGCGGCTTAGAGCCCAGAGCAGCCCTCTGCTAGGTCGCGAGGCCGCGAGCACCCGCCTCCGAAGGCCGCTGGCTCTGGAATCCCGGTCATTTTGTGCCTTTGAGGAGTTCACGGTCCTCAAACCAGATGGACAGGTTTCACGGGAGAAGCCGCTGAGCAGCGGGCAGGGGCCCCGCAGTGAGCGTGGGCACAAGAAGTGCAGGGAGAGCCTGCCGCAGCAGGTGTGAGTAGTTCCTGGAGAGGAGCAAGGAGACGTATTTTGAGTATACGGTACTGACCTGTATTTTTTTTTTATAGCCAAAGGCTTCCTCCCCCCCCCCCCCCCCCCCAGAGAGAGAGA